GGGGGGGGGGGGGGGGGGGATGTCGGGACTACTGGTGCTGGTGCAATGGAAGTCCCGTCTTTGGCCGCTAGTAGGACCAATTATTGTGGAAGGTCTGCAGTTGCTGAGATTTGGGTTTGTAGTGAGGCCGACAGAACATACCAACCCCTACGGTGCTGTTGCAGGAAAAACGATATTTGAAATCGTATTTACCCCGGAATCGCTCTGCCCGCCACGATTAGAAGGCTCAAATCGCAGCGGGATATTTTTCCTGCGATGTGGGTTTGAGGTCGTTGTGCAGGCGCTTTTGCTCGCGCGCGGCACCGATTGCACGTTTGCACCGCTCCCGTGCACCGCCGTGCACCCGTGTGCGCCATGTGCATCGTGTAGATGATGAACAGATGACATGTTGGACTTGAGTGTGTTTCACCTCTCTGCTGGGATTATGTGGAGAGCTTCGGTGGAGAGAGGCAGACGACACACCCTTTCTCAAAGGAAAAAAACGGCACAGCAGTAATGGTCTACTGCTGCATGCTCTCACTTACAATTACACAATCGGCCGTTGCCCATTTTTGCTTGTTGAGTAGGTGTGTATGAATATCGCTCCCGATCCTACGGCGGCGTAGTAGCCGCGCTTGTTGGATGTCTGTCGCAGTCGTGCATCGTGTGTGGTGTTTGAAAGGAACCAACTGTAAGTTGGTGGTCTGTCAACCGTCAGTTGGTGGTCTGTCGATTCAAAGCCAGTGTTTTCCCTTTTCTGACCATAAGGGTTGATCTAAAAAATCGCAGCTGCTCTCTGGATACCGTGGAATTTCCGCCTGATTCTGTGGTTTCAGGCCAACATGCAGACCTTCCACAAGAATTGGCCAACAAAAGACGAATGTGTCACGGTGAGGCACGGGCTTTGGTGGCGAATGGTCGGGAGGAGCATGGCGGGTTCATCCAGGAGGAAAACGCTGAACCGGCAGCAGCCCTTTTCGTAAGTGCACCAGCTGGCGATCGAGCCCCTGTTGGGGCGTTCAAACGGAATCCCCGACCCGCTTCTTGCAAAACGTCCACCCTCTCAAAGGCATGAAAATCCTAAATAGACGGACCCATGACGCGGGCGGGCTCTTCCCAAACATACCAAAACAACACTCTGCCCACCGGTGGGTAAAACACAAAAGACATGCTCCTGGTAGCCCACTCGCCCACCTCCGTCATCTCGTGCTGGAAGTAGGTCGTCTTCCGGTACATCAATTCGTCCGGGCCAGGGACGTTGTTGGCGAGGACCTGCCCCTGCGTTATATCTGGAACGAATATTTTTCGATGGTCGTGCCTTCTTCGGATGGCGAAAACGAAGTACGCCGTGAACGCGAACAGGCCGATCTGATTATGAGGCGTGCGGTCGAAGAAACACGAGGGCAAGTGGTGGTGGTGGAATTACATTTATTTCGGTGGGGAAGAGATGCGGTCGCGATGCTCGAAGGTTTCGCTGTTGGATACGGGGCCCACATGTCTTGAACTGGTTTGTGCACAGCAGATAGCGCCGGGGAGTAAGAACTGACAATTTCGGGTCCAGAAAAACAGACTACCCCATTTTCTTTACAAAAATGAACGTGTCTTTAGCTCTCCGTGCTGGGAAAAAATGTACAATCACAGAAAGACTACCCGTTCGAGACTTTACCACAGTCGAAGGGGATGTTCTATAATAGTACTAACGGACCTCTCCAGCTGTCTGTGCAACCCTATTCTCCTGTAATATCTTCCCCGGTTTTTCTGCCGTTATCTAGCCATTACCACTATTTCCTCAGGCCGAGTTTCTCGCCACCGACGGCCGTAAACAAACTACAGGAGAAAAATAGTAAACAGCGATGCCGGTCTCGCTGTCATCAAAGGTACTTGTTTTTGTTTGTTTGTTTGTCCCCCATCATTGAACTCTGTCGTCTGCCCCTCTGGCCCCTATACTCCACTTCTACCAGCTAGACGACCCAACCGGGGTCACATAGGAGGGGAGGGCTAGACCCCCTCCTGCGGTTCCTGCCTGAGGTATTTTTATCGCGAGAAGGGTACAGCAACCCCTTCCCTCGCGACTTACGAAGTCGATTATGGTTTACTAACAAACGAGCTTGGCAGCGCGTCGCTTTCATCCTAGACCAGGATTTATTTAGTGAGAAAAAAACTAACTCTGCCGGGACTCGAACCCATGACCTGGCCCTTGGCAGGCTGCGAGGCTACCCACTAGACCACCGGGGCGACCGGTGCACTGTACCCGCCCCGCCCCATCGAAATGAGGGCCGAAATTCAGTACTACACTCTTGGCTCGAAGCATGGCGTTGGGCCAACGAACAGGTGCACGCGTGGAAAGAGGGGGGCGGTACATGAAGTTCAGCCAACCCGTTACCCTTCAGCAAAGGAGAAACCTTTACCTGCCGCGTCATAAGAATCCTATCATCTACCAGTGTCGGATGTGCCTCTTTCCTTCTCTCGCCCTGATCACCGAACCACGCCTGAAACCCTATAGACGCAAAACGCTGCTTCATTCTACTCTGTCCCAAAAAAAAAGCGGCCGACACTTGGCCCAAGCAAGAGAAATCGCGCCCAACATTCCCGGCACGACTCGTCATGTCCAGTTTCCACATTGCTTGCCTGCTCAGCGAAGTAGGCAGCTCGGATGTTCCACAAGGTGGACTTGTCGGAGTAGTCCATCTTGGAGTGGCACATCAGCACAGGCAAATACACGTACACCTTCTCCATAAAGGAGCCTTGATTCCCCATGTTTTCTTCTGCTGCTGTAACTCTCTTCTTGGTTGACTCCTACTGGCAGGCCCCGCCGTGCGAAAGCGACAAAGCCGACAAGAGAAGCGCCTTCTTTGGGTGTTGCGAAACAAAGGAGAACAAACGGCAGCAGCAGCAGCGGCAACGGTGCGTATTGCGAAGCGAACTTAGTCAAGCCAGGGTGGTGCGGAGAGTGGGCGAGCCTTCGTGGACGCATTTTCCCAGCCTCCAACAGCTTCATCAACCATTCCCAGCGGTTGGGAATCAGAAGAGTTACTGGCCTCATATTGCTCCATGTCTTCCGGTTCTTTCAGTTACCGTGCGGTAGAACTCGAAGTCTACAGAACAAAGAACAAGACAGAGATGAACAACCAGCAGTAAGACAGCGACGTCCGTTTACCAGAGAACCAGCTGATACACCCATGGATCAATGACAATCGGATGTAAACATGTCAGGGCTATCAGTCTGTGCGGGGTCGGGGGTCGCGGGCCAGGGAACCTGAGGAATCTCGAGATTCGGGTTCTGAGTTCTGAAGTGGAACCACGACTGCAACCCGACCGCCACAGACAGAGAGACAGAGAGAAACTACGTTGGTCTGCGCGTCTGCGCTGGCGTGGTGAGAGAGGGAAGAGGGAAGCTGTGCGTACGACCATTGAGGGAGAGCCAAAGAGAAGGCATTCAGACACACCTCCACAAACAACACATGACTGCTGCAGCGCGACCGCCGTTGTGTACAAGCGGTTCTGAGCCAAATTCGGCGCGACAACCACTTTTGCAGCACCAAGTTTTAGGGGACGTGAGAGAATTCTCGCGATTCCGAGGTACCACATCTCTTCTCCTCACCTATTATCAGCAGAATCGAATTGCCGAACGGAAGATCATCCTTTGAGTGTCGAGCTATCGACCTTTTCCCTGGCGCGTCCCGAGCGGGTCTCCCTCAGCCGCGTCACTGTTGTCCTCGAAACGGGTTTCTCCAAGTTCAGGAGGCGTTTACGCAAAAATGCGGCGGAACCTGTGGGCGAAAACACCCCGCCTCCGCTGCTCCGCTGCTGCTGCTGTCAAGCAACACTATCCCGCATGGCCGACATACTTCGAGAGAGAAAAGAAAAGATGGCTGAAGCCGTCGTCCCTGCTACGGGGGCAGTGGGAAGGGAAAACAAGCCGCAGAACCAGGAGGAAAAGCCTGGCTTTGCCCAGCTGTTTATCAAGGTGGGTAAGACGAGAGTGAATTATTGATTCTCAAACTAGACCAACAACCGCAGAGTGGAGGTCACGTGTGGCGCTCTCTTTGTGCCAGTCGCAGTGCTTGAACCTGCACCACAATAAGCGTTACTTTCCACCCCTTATGACGGATAGGTGCAGGAAACAACACACAAAGCGGTACAGTCGACCCCGCTTTAAGGACGCTCGCGTGAAGGAATCTCCGCGCTTTAAGGAAACTTGTTTAGCTGAGCACCGGGGGGCCGGCAGAATATACGATAATGGGATACCCCAATTTTTCTGCCGCGTAACCCCCTTTCGTTGTGTCCTGCGGGCCTGCGGGCCGCTCTTTGCACGAACCACGCACCACAGTGAGTGCAGAAGTAGCGACGCACAGACCGCAGAAGTAGCGAGCGGTCTGCTGCTGCAGCTGCAACTGGGGGTTGGTGTGGATAGATTCCTCACATCTACCGGCCGTCCATCTGATGCCGCCAAAAAAAGAGTCGTGCATAACCTCGTCCCTCACCAATCCCTTCTTTTGGGTCGAAGTACTGGCCCAAGTCGTCCATTTCGTAAATGGCATTTCTTCTTCCTTTGGACTTGTCGCATCCTCCCGATTCTCTTATTCCTTAGACTACAACGAGTACTTCGTGTTTTCTTTTTTCTGCCTTTTGATCTCTGCGGACAATCCACATCATCAAGCCCTCAAGAGAGGTTGTGGAGAGTGCCATCAAACCCGTACAACAGCGGAGAGCATATGGTTGTCCGCGATGTGTGGCAGTACTACAGTACAGCACTCACTACTGTGAACAGCAGGGGCGTGGGGGACTCTGGCCCCTACAAGAAAAAATGCATTCGTGTTCAGCTTGGGAGGGGGTTGGGAGCACCGCAGATTTCTGATGTCATGGGGGTATCGCACCATCACGTTTCTTATTGGGGCGTTTCTTACATTGTGGCCGAGATTGAGCTAAGTTTCTTAGCCCTTTTTTCTTATTTTTCGTACGAAGTTGAGCATTTTTTCACAACAGATTTTTTCTTAACTGCGGGCACTATCTGTATTTGTACACGAAGGGAAGGGGTGGCGAGTACCGTGAGACGCAGTAGTTCCTTTTTTCTTCGAAGGCCGTTCATTCGTTTACTCATGAAACTCATCAGAGCCGTAGAGCCAAGCCGCGGGGGGAGGTTCAGGGAACTCTTCGCGATATGTGGAAGGAAAAACCACCAGGGTAGCTTTTGGTCTCCGCCGGGACAGTGATATGTTTTGGTGTTCCTCGGTGCGACGCTGAAATACGCTCGTTTTTTTTTGTTTCAGAAGAATGAGACATATGTATATGTCTACTTGGACTTTCCTCTTTCCGCTGCCGGCTATGCAGGTACATTAATGGGCCAAGTACAAACTGGTGTACTGTAGTTGTTTTCAACACGTCCCTGACTGCTTTACATCTCATTTCAAGCATTGTAAATATGTTCGACGCCAACAAACGGTTGCCAGTCGTCTCGGCGATGCTGGCTTTTTGTACCACCCCCTTCGGTGCTTGCCATCGGGGTTGGGTTTTCGTCGCTTGGCAACGACGTTGTAAAACAAGCCCCCCCCCTCGGTGTTTGCCATCGGGATTGAGTGTTCGTCGCTTGCCAACGACGTTGTAAAACAAGCCGATTCACTTCGTGAACTCGGCAACCAGGTTACCGTTTTTTTTTTT